CTGTCCTAGAACTTGCTTTGTATACCAAACTCACAGAGCTCCACCTGCCTCTGCCTCGCAAGTGCTGGGATTAAAGGCATGCGCCACCACCACCTGGCACATTCTACTTTTAAATGAGCTGCATACTCACAATACTCCAAACAAGAGAAGCACACATACACTATAGCAAAAGTAACTTTAAATTTGTATCAATATACCAAAATACATACCAATGTAAAATATCTGAGATTTGTAGTTATCCTTCTATCCTAGATTTCTTTATACCCCCTAAATGATGGCATCCACAAACCACAAAAAGATCAAAAATCACCCACACCACCTCTTGGGAATATGGGCATTGTGTTCTCAAGACTGCTTGCTGTTGTCTGTTGTTGTGAGTCAGCATCATCTTTAGGCTACCCTGAGAATATTAACATAATGGTCAAGTCCTGGTAAAACTAGTTGTAACATTTGATGTCCAATCTGCATATAATGAGAAAGTGTAGGACTTATCTAAATTCTTGATGGAGTTGTTTGTGAGGTTGGATCATCTCAGCTAGCAGCTTTGAAGTTGTTTTAGGTGTAGATTTTTGAGAAAACTTTAACAGGGCCATTCTGAGTGGCTAGACTATGTGAGCTACTTGTCCTTATTTGTGTTTTGTTCCCATTTCCTGAAAGAACACAAAAATTTAAAGGTAATATATCTATCTGCATTAACACAAGTATAGCATGTATGGTATGCATAAGTCAGGTAAATATGATTTTTGTTTTATGTTTGATCACGTAAAAGGCATCTGTCAAATTTAAAAGTCTGTTTGGACTGTATAGCCAAACTACTTTGAAGATTCTGTAGCCAATAAAATTTATTATGGCTCATCCATTCTTAGAGCCATTTTAGTACAGCGGAATCAGTATATGTCATCTGTTGTAGACTATTAATTAAGGTGTGTTACATTTGTATATGCTTTGAGATATTTGTTTAATGATGCAAAGATGTGTTGTATTCTTTCATTTTGCATTTGTTTAACTCTGTGCAGCTGTGCTCTTTTGCCTGTTAAAACATCTGATGGTCTAATAAAGACCATTAGAATGGCCAATAGCGAGACAGGATGTAGAATAGGCAGGGCTGGAAGACAGAAATATATACGGGGAGAAATCTGAGAAAAAGTGAAGGAGCAAGCAAGAGAGGAAGAAGGAATGAGAGAACAAGGAGAGGAGGATGATAGGGGCAGCCCCCAGCTACAAACCCAGACATGGAGTTAGACTGAAAGTAAGATGTGTGGATGTAAGAAAAGGAAACAGGTAGATGTGATAATTTAAGTTAAGGAAAACTGGCTAGAAATAAGCCAAGCTCAGGCCGGTTGTTTATAACTAAGAATAAGCCTTCCTGTCATGATTTTGGAATTGAGTGTTGGGTCCCACAAAGAGCCAAAAGAATAAAAGAGTAAAAAACTAAAAAACAGTAGTGACTTGTCTTATAGTTTTTTCTGGTTTATTTCTTTATGTCTCTAGTCAACATTTTCAGGGGGTTCTCCCCTGATCAAACCTGATCTCTATTAATTTTGAAGGAATCCACAAAAACACAACCTCTCCCACAACATAATACATTTTTCTGAGTTCCATTTTAAAGTTAAGACATTCCTTACGTATCTAGGCTCATTTAATTCAGCAGTTCCTTTTACAATTCAATGTCTCTCTGGAGCTATCATTTGCCCATCAGCATTCAAAAAATTCAAAATCAGCACAATACCTTACAGGATACAATATTCCTATGTATTTTCCTTCTTTACATGGCTTTTTTTCTTTTATTTTACTCTCTTTAAAGATTTAAGTGTCTATTACCACTTTCTTTCCTTTCTTAATTGCCTAAGCACACTTTATGCACACTATAACCGGTTTAGAGGATTTTCAGGTTGAACCTGTCCTTAATGTGTGTCTGTTGTCTTTTCTGACTATTTGAGCAAACCTTAACTGGCCAGGCTCCACTTAATCACTTGGAACCTGGCACTGGTGACTCACTCTGCCACTTCCTCAGGTCTGTACAAGCCAGTCTTGTGCTAGTGGGCCCGACTGAGAAATGCACTGCTCTGGGATTTTTGTGCCTGTGCTGTGCCAGGCATGTTTCCTAAGCACGCTGTTTCTACTTACTGTGCTGGCTGCTCCGGTTGACTGCTGTATGTGTATGGCAGGGCTCTGCCTCTGTGTGCTACAAGTACCACGCTACTAGGAAGCCATGTCCTTTGTTTTCCTTTTCATTTCTTTCAGCTTTCCTAAGCCCTATGAGGAATATATGGGGCCCACATTGGGCATCCAATATAGTAAACTTTCATGGACCATCATTTTCCAAATCATGACACAGAGACTTACTATTAAACATGAATGTTTGACTTTAGCTTAAGCTTGTTTCTAACTAGCGTTTTGAACTTCAATTAGACAATTTCAATTAATCTATGTGTTTCTCCAAGGTTTAATTATTTCATATATGCACTGTCCATCCTGCTTCCATGCTTCCTCTGTGTCTGTCTGTCTGACTCCCCTTTCTTTCCTCCTTTCTCTCTGTCCACCTATCCCTCTTCTGCCTAGCTAGTGACCATTCAGCTTTTCATTAGACCAATTAAGTGTCTTAGGCACTCAAGGTAAAACAACAACTTTACATAGTGTGGCCAAATATCCTATTACAAACCTGTACTTCATCCAGGAGCTGCCAGTTACTGTGCAACACTTCTGGAATTGCCATTAGCATGTGACTGCTCTGCTGTTTTCCAAGGTCAGATAGAAAGGAATAGCCCTGGGAAAATAGATTACCTGAGATAGAAATTGCCTACTTTGCCAGATTGAACATGCCAGTCAAGTGTTAGTGTGACTTTAAAGAATCCTAAGTGGAAGGCCTGCAAGCAGGACATAGTATGGAATTCCTCCACAAAGCAGTGGAGCACAGCAGTAAAGCAGATGGCGAAATTCTTCATGTCATTTCTACTGCTCCTGGCTCTGCCTCAGCAACATCACAGATTCCAAGCTAGGATGTCAAAAAAGTGGGCTGTGGACTTGTGGGCAAAGACTTGGGTGCCATAGACCCAAAGGAACTCCAGGACAAAGACTTGGGTGCCATAGACCCAAAGGAACTCCAGGACAACAATTGACACCAATGGTGCAAATGCAGGTGTCCAGAGTCTGCACACCCTTTGCTCTTTTCAGATAGGATCCCACTTACAACCCAGGCTTGACTAAATCTCATAGTGATCCTCCTGCCAATGCCTTCAGTTCAGAGAACAACTGTGTGCCACACCAGGCTTCTGTTTATTTCACGAGTAACGTTGCAGAATTAACAGAAGCCGGGCATGGTGGTGCAGGTCTTCAATTTATGCACTCTGCAGCAGAGGCAAACTGATCTTTATGACCTTGAGGCTAGCCTGGTCTTCAAAGTGAGTTCCTGTGCAAACTGGGTCTACAGAGTGAGACCCTGACAAAGAAAATGAAACACTAGGAGCATGATGCAAATATAAGTATTCTTAATTTGGTTCACTTGTTTTCACTAATGATGCAGAATTGAGAGAAAAATAAATCTTTAGACTCCTATATCAAGTGAGCAGTTAAAATAAGTATAATTAAGTCATCAAAATATTGATGCTCTATAGTAAATATGGAGTGATTAATTAAAAAACTCAGTTTGACCCCATAGGATTTAGTTAACTAAAATCTTTTATTTAAATTTTTGGGCCTTTTCTACAGGATTATAGTTTAAGAGACTGCAGAGTTTTGGAACGTATTTTTTAATCAAACTTTCTTTTACAAAAATGACAATCAGCACGTTTTCCCCAGATGTCATCGGGTGTGGTCAGCTTTGAACCTGGCAGATTTCCATAACAAAACCTGACCAGTGCCCCAGCAATGAATACTCAGCTCCAAGAAACTGCTCAGAGATGAGGTCTGACTCAGCATGTGGATGGTGCCAGTAAAGGTTCAAAACAGGACACTTCTCCCTCTAGCTGGGATTGTGGGAGCCCCTCACCCAACTCTGCAGGCTGCCATGTTGCTATAAAGTGTTTGGGGGCAGGGTTGGCCTTGCCAGAGCACGCACTTCCTCTGGTCCTACTGGGTAACATCTGAGTTCAGGTACCTTTTCCATAGATTGCATGTCCTGGGGAAGCCTTCATCACTGAGGCAGCCCAGATTTCCCATAGTCAGAGCTTCAGGTGCTGGGGACACAGGCCTAGGAGCAAAGCAGGGATGGGAAAGGAGCTATGCAGCATTGCCCCAGTCCACAGGAAGGGGTACCCTTACCTGGAGTTTAAATGTCCAGGATATGGAGGCTTGAAGGCATAGGAATACAGAGGCTCTAAGAAATGAAAAAGGAAAGGACACGACTGTTTCTAGGTATGGCGGAGGAAAAGGTTTATTGCAGATAAAAGGAGGAATGCAGAGAGAGGCAGGGACATCTGGGAGAGTCCAGAGTGGACATTATCCTGATCCATGTGAGAAGAGGTGCTAGGGGAGAGCAGAGAACCAGACCAAGAGGTCCGGAAGGTAAAGGGTAGATAGGGGAGGGGGGAGGTTACCAAAATGGTTGGATTATGTAGGGAAGGACAGCTCGGGGAAGGTCTGGTCGGACTCTGGACAAGAGACGTTCAGGATAGGGGACGGGGTATGCAAGCCTTATCCTGTAAACAGGTTGGGATAGAGGGCTGCGTGGAGAATCCCACCAGTGTCTGCTTTGATATGTTAAATAGGCTCCTCAGCGGCTGGTCCCAGGTTTGAGATCTAACACCCTGTGCCCTGGAGGACGATGGGGAAGTGCCTACTAATGCAGGGACGACTTTGTAGTCCTGGCGCAAGTTCTGCAGCAATGCTCATATCGGCATGCCTGGGGTAATTCTGTGCCTGTGTGGAAGTCAGGGCTGGGAACCACTGTGCTGAGTTTCTTCACCGTAACGAGTCGCTAAGGGAACTGCTCCTGCCACTCAAGCCACACTAGCCAATCAGGGATCCCAAACGTACTACCATTCAGAATAAGGGCGGGCACTTCCGGCCCGTCACGCTGCAGGCTCTGCTGCCTCTCCCTGGCTGAGGGAGACACTCGTACCCTGTGTAACGCTGTGACCCGCTGTCGGGAGCTGTGGGGAGAGCGGGGCGAGCTCAGAGTCCGCCATGGTGAGCGAGGGCCGCCGCCCTATGTGAGGAAGAGCCGGTGTGGGGTCCTCCCGGCGCTGTGGCCGACAACGGCCTGCCGCGCGCCCCGTGAGGTCCGCGAGTTCCCCGAGGTCTCTGCTGTCCTCTCTGGGGTCCTGGGGCCTCCGAATGACACCTGTGCGGACTGCGGCTGCGCAGAACACAGAGGCTGAGGGTGTGTGTGTGTGTGTGTGTTGGGGGGGGGTGACTGTGTGCATTTGTCTTTATTGATGACTAGCGCCTTGTGAGGCTTTCATTGTCTACTGGGAGCCAGACGTGTTAACAGGCAGAGGCCTGGTTCCTCTAGCGTTTTCTAGAAGTTCTGCACTTGGCACTAAACATTCAGGTGTAGGATCCGACTGCAGTTAATTCTGTGCAGGGTATAAAGTCTGTGCCATAAACACATCTGCATGGAGATGCCAGAGAGGTCCAGTCACCTGTGTTAGTAAGGCCCCACTTACTGGGTTTCCTAACCTCATGTGTCAAAATTGACTATATTAATTGTGTTTCTATGTCTAAGTTTGCTCTCATGTTCTGTTGAGCTCTTTGTTCTTTCCCACGCTGAAGTCCTTGTTGTCTGAGACATTCTGAACCAGATTGTGTTACTGAGTGTGCTATTTACTCAGGGTTGTGTTGATAATTTTTTCATTCATGATGTCTTTTGTCATCAGTTTTCTGTTACTGATAGGAAAAAATGTTAGACGTTTTATTGGACTGTTGCTGAATCTATAGCTTAAATTCTGTACTGAAAAAAAATACTTAGTCTTTTTGTCTCACAATCCTTTCTTTTAATTACAAATTTATAGATTTTGCTACAGAGATTTGTTACATTTCTGTGTATTTCTGGTTTATTTATGACTTATACGAGATATAATGATGTTTTTAATTTTCCAATATTATTTTAATTCATGTGTATGAGTGATTTGCTTGCATATGTGTATGTTCACCGTGTGTGCTTTGTACCCACAGAAGACAGAAGGAGGCATCAGATCCCCTGCAACAGCATCTAGGGATGATTGTGTGCACCATGTTAGTGTTGGGGACAAAACCCAGGACTTCTACAAGAAAAAGGGTGTTGGTAACTGCTGAGTCATCTCTCCAATCCTAAACTTGACAGAGTTTTTAAAAATTTTTATTTTACTTTACCTTTTTTTTTAGTGTTTTTTTTTTTCTTTTTTTCTTTTTTTAGTTTCTATTTTTTTGAGATGGGGTTTCTCTGTGTGGCTTTGGAACCTGACCTGGAACTAACTCTGTAGACCAGACTGGCCTCAAACTCACAAAGATCTGCCTGCCTCTGCCTCCCAGATGTGTGATTAAAGGCATGTGCGTGCATTCATAAGTATATGCTGAAAAGCAAGTGTTAGGAGAGTTGAGATTTGCTTAACATTTTGTCATTAGGGTTTGAGATATGACTCAGTAAGTATCCACGTTAGATTTGTTCAACTTGACATAAGCTAGAGGCACTCTGGTCTGTAGGCAAATCTATAAGGTATATATTATATATTCTTGATTAGTGCTTGATGTAATAGGGTTTATTCCATAGGGTGGTTGGAGTCACCCAGGGCAGGTGATTCCAAGTTATGTAAGGAAGCAAACTGAACAGGCCATGATAGCAGGAGTGCAGTCAGCAGCATTTCTCCAGGTTGACAGCACATGTGGAATGCATAAGCCTGTGGTGTATGTGAGCTAGCAGATCTGTTCCTGGACAGATCCTCTTTGTGTGTTAGGTAGATCTGGAGACTTGTAATTACTGAAGAGATTTTTTTTTCTCAGTTAATTCTCTAAGTTTGTGGCATGATTTCTTATTGTCATGACACATTAATTCTAGAACATTTGCACCTTGAAGCTTTCAGAAAATTATTTTGAGACAAGGTTTGTTATATTGACATTCTTTGCCTAGATCCTTCAGGGTTTAGGCTCTGGGGTAGTGACCCTGCTGTCCTCCTGACTCAACCTCTTCAATGGTTGATAAAAGGTTTGTAAGAGCACAAAGTTCTTAAAGACTCCACTTGAGTCACAGAGTAGGCTGTTTTTTGTACTAGAAGGCAAATGATTTGTGTGTGAACCAGCTTCTCCATTGAGATTAGAATAGAAGGAATAGTTTATCGTGTATACTACAGGGGAAAAAAGACTAGGCCATAGCTAGATTAGAGGTTGTTTAAGTCATTGACCCACAGGTGTCTCTGTTATAAAGAAGGATCTGATTGGACAGGGTGAGTTCTGTGTACTTTCCCAGTATGCATTAATTCATACTATATGAATGAAAGGAAACCAAATTGGTGTGTGACAATTTGGGGAGGTTAACTTGAGCCACTGAAATTTCCAGGTGGAAAACTCTCTTATATTGGTAACTGCAAACCTGGTTGACCCACTTCAGTCAGGAGACAGGATTGAGACACAGGGCATTTGGCTGTGGTTTGTGTTTCAGCCTACAACACTCGGCAACTAACATTTTACACAGGGCAGGGTCATACACTCTCTTATAAATGTGGACTTGAGTTTGTATAGGATGATGAGTATCAATCTATTTGCGTTCTTCTACATGCACGCATCCAATTTGACCAGCACTATTTGTTGAAGATGGTGTCTTCATTTCAGGATGTATTTCTGCTTCTTTATAAAACAACAACAACAACAAAAAAAACCCCAGGTGTCTATGGGAATGTGGGTTCATTCTGGGCCATCAATTTTATTGATCATTGTTTCATAAGACCACTTCTTTTTTTGTGTACCAGCTGCTGGAATGGTGCACCTTCTCATGACATTCTGACCAGAACTCCAAATAAGAACTTTGAAAAAAAAAACTTATCTATTGACTGCTCAGAAATTGTTTGCCCCATACTAGACAGTAATTTTGAAACTTAACCATTACTTTAATTTTGCAGGATCCTATTAAGAGAACATTGCCCCCATGACAGCAGGAAGCAATTCTAGAAGACAACGCCCCCATCCCAAAAAAGTTTGTCCATAGGGTTGGAACACTGTTTAGGGGTTGTTGACTGTTACTTGTATTAGATAGAGGGTTTGTGCTTGTTAAAAAGAAAAAAAGGAGGGATAGTAATAGTGGGTAATAGATTGAATACTTGTGAGCTATTATTTGTGGATAATTAATATTGGTATAGTTTTTGTATATTTCTACAAGTTCAAATTATATTTGTTAGTTTTGTTTACATTATTTGTACATCTATGCAAAATTATTTTGTCAGATTGTGTATATGTATGTTATTATCCCTGTTTAGGATATTTTGTATATTGATACAACTTTTAGGATATATTTTTATATTGCATCATATATTACTCCTACCTCTGATCAAGATACTTATATATTGTTGACATTTTGAGGTCATTGTCCTCATCTGTTGCACATTTGTTTACAGGTTATTTAATATTCCGACATGAAGTTTTAGTCTTTAAGATATGCAGGTATTAACTATTACAGGTCAATAGTTGCTCATGCTTGTTGTACATACATTTAGATCAATTAGGATCTTTAGATACACAGAGATTGTATTCTGTCTAGAAAGGTAATCTTCAACCACTTCAAGGATCTGTGAAACATGGCATTTAAATAACTTAGGGTTCTGCTGACATGAGACATGACTGCTTCTGACAGCACCAATCTATTCCCGAGAGAATGTTGAGCACCAAAGACACTCCACTTGGAGCTTGTTTTCTTCTTGGACAAACTGGCCTTTGGGCAAGGAACTGACAATGCCTCAACCACTGACAAGTTACATGATATCCAGAAATGGGTAAACAGGACTGTTAAATCTTGCCAAGACAGAATAAGATGGTTTTGAAAATTTTCCTGCCTCTGAAAATGGTCTGTCAATTATGCTAGGCCATAGCCAAAGTTGGTTGCTTCAACATTGCAAATAAGTGAGACTTTGGGTGATTGCTCAGGTCTCTGTCATATATTGCTCACTTTGGAAGCTACTTGATTATACTTCCTGCCTGTTCAAGTAATATTATATCCTTTCTTAGGCCTTCAGTAGGATTGAAGATTAGATAGTCGTAGTTACCGTCCTCTTATGATCTAGCCAAGCCATTTCCAATACAAGACTTAGACTCCATAGGATAGAATGTTTATTAAAACATTTAGCATATGTTCCATGCTTAATATTGTTTATGCTGATTGTAATTCTTATCTTATACTTGATATCTGTTCCTAGTGTATATTGTTTTGTATTGGGTTTGGAACTCTTACTTAAACAAAGGGGGGAGATGCTACGGGAGCCCCTTTTGCTCCTTCAGCCAATAGCCTTTAAGATACCAGCCCACTTGGGTGTGGTCTCTTTTGCTTTAAAAAGCAGCCATAGCTGTGCGTTCTTGCCCTTGCTTCGGGCTCTGCTTCCGGTTACTAGACTCCTTTCCTGGTCGTGCAGAGGACTATTGTCTCATTTTCTGTAAGTTTTTCCTTTAAATAAATAACCCTTTTATTAATCATAATTTTAAACTGGTGTGGGATTGCTTTGTGATTTACACCTTTAGCAGGAGCCATGTTTATTGCCACAACTCTATAGTTTTGAGGTCTCTGCCACCACCAAGAAGTATGCTGTTGACTATTCATAAACACCATTTAAATGTTTTGTGGCAGGGCCTCTTAAGAGGGATGCAAGGTTTTTGCAGCTAAATCTGAATCAAGAAGCTTCTCTTAAATGAGACATGCCTGCCTCTAGCAAACAGAGTCCACATGAGAAAATACTGCTATCAAGAAACCATGCTTACCTCTGTTCTTTTGTGTCTATAATTACTTCCCAAGCTCTCTCAGGTTTTAAGTGGATGTAGTTGTCCACGTTGTTGACATTTGTTGACAGAGTTTCTGTTCTACCCCATCTCATAGCCATTCAGTCCCAAAGAAACACACAGAGGACTACATTAATTATAATTTGGTTGTCCTATTAGCTCAGGCTTTCTTATTAACTAATCTTTACATCTTAATCATAATTTTTGTCTGTGTCAGTCATGTGGCTTGGTATCTT